TGCAAGTGCTGGTCTTCTCTGGGCCCCAAAGCTTGTAGAGGTCCCCTTGGACTTGAGCATTGCCACTGCAAAATGTCCAGGTGGCTCTCTGCCTCAGTCTAGAAGCCTGGTGGAGTACTGGGGGTGGTGCAGGGGGCAGGGATATTTTTCCATTCCCAGTCTTGCACAGTTCCCTGTGGAGAGCGTGAATTACCCTGGGGGTTCCCACTCCTGAGGTGTTGGGAGAGGTTCTCCTGGCTCTGTTCTGAGCCCAGACAGGCTGGTGCCCGGCTTCGCTCCTCTCTGCTGTCTGTGTTCCCTTGCTGCCTTGATGGACCCCAATGTAAAACTAAATTTTAAAACAGAAGAGTCTGGGACAATATGAGGTTGAACCGAAATATGATAAAATAAGTTACCTTCTCTGGGCATAGTGGAAGTTCCAATCTAAGCAGAGTATATGGAATTTTATGAATAGATTAAACTTTATGTTTTTTCCTGAACAGGGCTGCCATCCTGGTGTTTCCCAGGACAACAGGAAGTTGTGTCTACAGCTGAGTTCACACAAAAGTGAGTCCACTGGGCCAGAAGCTCTAGCTAGCATTGCCTGCCTGGCTATTAGCAGCAGGGAAGGGTGGAGTGGGTGACCAAGTTCCAATCTCTTGTACAGTACACTGCTCTGATTAGGCCTTTCAAGGTTGTGTGTGTGTGTGGCTGTGTGTGTGTGTGTGTGTGTGTGTGTGCGCGCTTGTGTTGGGTGGTTGGTAGTTATGAGGTGTCAGCCCAACCAAGGCCAATTATATGAAATCATATTAGCCACGTCTCAGTCACTGAATATTTGAAATAAAAATCAATGCTAGTTTTAAAATATTCCATAAATCGTTTTATGTCCAGCTTAGCAAGACTTTAGCTGTTCTCTCAACCTAGAACCTTTGGCATTCATATAGTTTAAAAGAAAGTTTAACACTCTATGTAAGGTACAGATCTACCTCATATTTATCAAAGATTCTTTGGGTAGGTCATAGATGCATATGTTGGGTGCATGAAAATTGAATATGTCCAGAACGTGTTTTACTTTTACATGAATATCTGGGCAAAGTCTATTTTATTCTAAAGAAGTAAAGTTGGAACAAAATGCAACATAGACATTTTCAGAATGATAATAAAATTATGGAGGAATTATAGGTATATTGTAATTCTGAAAATACCTTAATTAGGTCCTGAGTGCTCAAATATAAGGACTCTCACCCATTCTCATATGCATTTCAAATCATTCTCTCTACATGGATGCTTCCTATACACTCTTTTATATACATTTATTAGGATTCGTAACTAGCAACTTTTTTATCTGCACATTGAGATTGAAAATTTAGGGTTTTTGCTTGGGGAAGTTTTGCAGAAATTGAGAAGCAAATATTATATGGCATCAAATGTGTACATTTGTAGTAATAAAATGACTCTTTGATTACTGTAATGCCTGAAAAGTTTACATGAATTCCATTTTAAACATATTAGTGCTGGATAGTATTGCTGAGTGGAAAGAATTCTTTGTTTAAAGAATGTGTTCTAGTGTTTATCAGAAGATGGCTGTGAAACCTTAGCTCCTTTGGATCTCATTTACCTCACTGATAAAGTGAATGGATTAGACTAAACTCTCAATTTTCCTTCAATGCCAAAATTCTAAATTCATTTGATGAATATGCATTGCTTCTTGTGTATAAGGCACTGGGCTAAGCATTGATAGTACATCAGTGAATAAAATGGATAAATACGCCTGCTATAGTGCAAATAAAAAAAAATTAAACTACTGTTGCTCTCCTGGACTCTAGTGTCTGCCCAATGCTTCCATTTCTATGTCCAGTGCTATCCAGTTCATCTTCTTAAAGCAAGATTATAAGGAAGCCCTTCCAATACTCAAAAGCTTATGACTCCCTACCATTTGCAAAATATGCTCCAAATTCTTTAATTAGGTATTATCTGTGCAATGTGCCCTGTTTCAACACTATGTTAACAATTTCATTACTCAAGAGGAAGTAGTGGGTAGTAGGAAAGGACCTGGCCCAGGAGCCTGAAGCCCTGGGTTCAGGCCCTAGTGCTACCAGTACTAGTTAGATAAATTTTGGAAAACCATATACATTCTCTGAACTTTCATTTTCTTATTGGGAAAATAAGACCAATAATAACTTTGCTCCATAGAACAATACATAAGCAATAAGTTGCACCTAATGAAAATATATAAGTGCCTTGTAACTATTAAAGTGAAGTGGCTCAGTTGAAAGGTTGTAAATTTTGCAATCATATAGAACTAAGTTTAAAATCTGGCTCAGTACTTCACTAGCTTTATGACTTTGAACAAGTTAATTAATATTTCCAAACTGCTTATCTATAAAATTGATCAAAATAGCTATTCTGCATTACTATTATGAGTGCTAAATAAGAGATTATAAGGAGAATATTTGACAATTAATAGGTAAATAAGTGACCATTGACTAGTAGCTATTATTAAGGCAGTTAGCATTTATTTTAACTCTTTATGACTTGTACAGATCCCATGTTCCTACTTGTTGACAAGTTAGTTCAAAATTTCCTCAGGAGATAAACTTGGAATTTATCTAACCCAATCCGTGTGTGTGTGTGTGTGTGTGTGTGTATATATATGTGTGTGTGTGTGTGTGTAGTATATATGTACAAGAGAGGGGATGAAAAGAGAGGAGAGGGGAAAGGAGATGAGGTTAAGGTTGGAGGGGAGAGGGAAATCATAAAAAGTTCCAACTGGGACAAGGATGAAATGCAGTCTAAATTCTGATATCAGACTTATCCTACAGGACTATTAAATAGTAGTAGACAGTTCACACTTAGAAATACATACAAGATTAAGGGCAGGGAGATTGATTTGGCCTTACTTAGCTTCACAGTTCCTGGCTAGAGTGATGAGAGAGGACATGGTTTTGATTAAAGCTCCTGAGGAAAGGGACTACCAGTCCAAACATCAAAGACTAATCAGAGAGCTCAAACCACCACCAGCCCCTAGCAAACTTGTGGATCTATATATCACATAATATATATTATACGTCACATTTCTCCTTTTTATTTAAAAATTTTATTTTAAATTTTTGTGGGTACATGGTAGGTGTGTATATTTATGGGGCACATGAGATACTTTGGTTCAAGTATTACATGATGGAAAATAGGGTATCCATCTCTTGAAGCATTTATCCTTTGTGTAACAAAACATCTAATTATATACTTTTAGTTATTTTAAAATGTGTAATTACATTATTATTGACTATAGTCACCCTGTTGAGAGATCAAATAGTAGGTTTTATTCATTCTTTCTATTTTTTTGTATCCATTAGCTTACCTCCCCCTCACACCCCCCCACCTACCCTTTGCAGCTCTGATAACCATTCCTCTACTCTCTATCTCCATGAGTTCAATTGTTTTGATTTTTAGGTTACACAAATAAGTGAAAGCATGCAATGATTGTCTTTCTGTTCCTTGCTTATTTCATTTAACAGAATAACCTCCAGTTCCATCCATGTTATTGCAGTTACTGGATCCCATTCCTTTTTATGGCTGCATTGTACTCCATTGTGTATGTGTACCATGTTTTCTTTACCCAGTGGACACAGATTTCTTCCAAATCTTGGCTACTGTGAACAGTGCTACAAGAAGTAAAGTAGTGCAGATATCTCTGCAATATACTGCTTTCCTTTCTTTTGGGTATGTACACAGTAGTGAGATTGCTGCATCATTCAGTAGCTCTATTTTTAGTTTTTAGAAGAACTTCCATACTATTCTCCAAAGTGGTTGTATTAATTTACATTTCCAACAACAGTGTATGAGGATTCCCTTTTTTCCACTTCCTCACAACATTTGTTATTGCCTGTTTTTATATATAAGCCATTTTACACTGGGATGAGATTATATCTCATTGTAGTTTTGATTTGCATTTCTCTGATGATCAATGTGATGTTAAACACCTTTTCTTATGCCTGTTGCCATTTGTATGTCTTCTTTTCAGCAATGTATTTTCACATCTTTTGCCCATTTTGGAATTTTGGGATAGAATTATTAGTTTTTTTCTCCATGGAGTTGTTTGAGTTTGGGAAGTTTGCAAATATTTTCTCCAGTTCTGTGGGTTGACTCTTCACTTTGTTGATTGTATCCTTTGCTATGTGGACGCTTTTTAACTTCATGTGATACCATGTGTCCACTTTGCTTTGGTTACCTGTGTTTGTGAGGTATTACTCAATACATTTTTGCTTAGACTAATGACCTGGAAATGTCTGTATATTGATATTGTGTCTGTAATTTTACTGAATTTGTTTAATAATTCTAAGTTATTTTGTGGTGTCTTTAAATTTTTCCAAATATAAGATTATATCATCTGCAAACAAAAATAATTTGACTTCTTCCTTTCCAATTTGGATGCCCTGTGTTTCTTTCTCTTGTTGGATGGCTCTGGCTGGGGCTTGAAATCTATGTTAAATAACAGTGGTGAAAGTGCGCATCTTTTTTGTGTCCCAGATCTTAGAAGAAAGGCTTTCATCTTTTCCCCATTCAATGTGATGCTAGCTGTGGGTGTGGGTGTCATACATGACTTTTATTATGTTGAGGTATATTACTTCTCTTTTTTTAATTTTTATCGGGAGACGGTTATGTGACATCTCTGTTTTTTGTTGTTGTTGTGTTTTCTTTCTTTCTTTCTTTTTTTTTTTTTTTTTGAGACGGAGTCTCGCTCTGTTGCCAGGCTGGAGTGCAGTGGCCTCATCTTGGCTAACTGCAACCTCTGCCTCCCGGGTTCAAGCGATTCTCCTGCCTCAGCCTCCCCAGTAGCTGGGACTACAGGCTCGTGCCACTACGCCCAGCTAATTTTTTGTACTTTTAGTAGAGACGGGGTTTCACCATGTTGGTCAGAATGGTCTCGATCTCTTGACCTCATGATCCGCCCGCCTCGGGCTCCCAAAGTGCTGGGATTACAGGCGTGAACTGCAGCGCCCGGCCAACATCTCTTTATTGGTTCAGGGTATGCCTGGCCTGGCGGCAGCCCCAGGTCCAAGGGGGCTGTAACTGGAGGTCTCTGGACAGTCAGTGGCAGCATCAGCAGAGACCCCGGGTGTCGGGGGGCTGCGGGAGTAGCAGCACTGGTCTCCGCGTTGACAGGTGCCCTCCTTAAAGCTTTTGCAAGGAAATGTCTTGAGCAGGGCAGCTCGATGGGCCCTGCCCTCTGGCGGCTCCTTCCGCTTGTTCCAAAGCGGCTCCTTCCGCTTGTTCCGAAGCAGCCTGCGTCTCTACTCCATAACTTTGCCGGCCGCCTTGTTCCCTGGCCAGGCATGAGGATGGGGACCCCAGTTGGCTTCCGGGTTGGCCCGGAAGCGCTTGGGTCCTCGCTGGCGGGAGCTGGGGTTGGTAATTTCCCGGATGGTGAAGTTGGCCTGCAGCCTGGGCTCCACACTGAAAATGCGGAACACTGGGCTGGTGTCTGAGAGTCACTCCCGTTTCACCGGACATTCCTTCTTCCAGCAGCGCATGATGTTGCAGAGGGCGGAGGCGGGGGCATCCGTCTTCACAGCCTTCTTACCGGCCTGGGAGAGCGAGACCCGGAAGTGAGCGTGGAGGAGGGCTGACCGCAAGGACGGGAGGCTGGGCATGTTGCAGCGGATGGTGCTGCTCTGCTGGTCCAGGGTGCAGTACAGAGGCATATCCGGAAGCTCCTCAGTGATGACGCTCAGGACCCTTCGGATCCGCCCCGAGGTGTGGAAGCGGCTGGGGTTAGTGCGCACAGCCTCTAGTACACAGCCCACGAAATCCAGGTCTTGGATGGGCTCTGCCCACATGGAGCAACCAAGCTGGTGTCACTGCCCACAGTGTTCACACTCGGGGTCACGGGGGGAACATAGGCTGCAGAAAACTTGACCCGGCCGCTGGGGAACTCCTGACGCTCTGCCGAGTCGCTGAAGGTGGAAGGCCCCGCAGCCCACACACTGGAACACCAGCGCTTGCTTGCTGGCTGAGGGCTGAACCTTGGGCTGGCCGGCGAAGACACGGACAAAAACACGCACGTAGAAGTTGGCGCTGTGCTGAGCAGCGGTACTACGAAGCGCTGGTAACGGTTGGCGCAGAGGTTCAGGCTGTGCAAGAGGATTCTCAGGGCCATCTTGTGACAGGCCCGGCTCTTGAGGGCCATGGCACCGTATTTGCTGTAACAGTCTCCCCGCTGTTCCCCGCCGGCACCGCCATGTCCGTGCAGGTCACGCACAGCAACTCTCCTTCACTCACAGCCTGCACAGCTGCATCCGTGAAGGGGCCAGGGCTGCCACAGGGCTCCAGATGGATGACGTCGAACCTCTCTGACACCCTCTGGTGCTGGTACATCAGCATCCGGGCATCTACTTGGCTGGGCTGTACCAGGTGGGCCATATCATTGAGCTGCACATGCCGGCGTATGAGATCCACAGCCCGGGCAGAGGCATCGTTTGCAACCACAGATCTGAGCCCAGGCACCTCTACGGCAAATCGAATGGAACATAGGCTTGAAGCTGCCAGGCCTTCCAGCACATGCAGGCCTTCCTCACAGATCTCCCTCACCGCCGCTGTGCGAGGTTGGTCTTCTGAGGCCAGGTTTTCACTCTCTTTCAGTTCAGCCTTTTCTTCCTCTTGCTTTAATGAGTCCACGACCACCTTTTGCGTATCCTCTCCTGGCACCTTGATCTGGATTCCTTTGGCCCCAAGCTGAATGCGAGCAAACTCGATGATCACAGCACATGTCAGGTTCCGATTGAATTCCTGCACCAGGTTATAAAAGACCTCGTTGGCGCTGGGATTTTGGCAGCCCCCTCAGTGACTGTCATCTGCTGGACTTCACGTGGGCACTCTTCTCTGCAGGGCCCGGTGCCGCTCTCCATCGCTGCTGATTCGGCAGCCCTGGGGACTGCACCTCGGTAAACCGGGCTCTTTTCGTAACCACAGGAAATCAAATTAGGACCTGGGTGCCACCATGTTGACACAGTCGAGGTATGTTACTTTTATTCCCAGTCTTTTGGTTTTTTTTTTTTCCTTAATCATGAATGGATGTTAAATTCTATCAAATAATTTTTCAGCCTCAATTTACATAATCATATGGTTTTTCTCCTTCATTCTGCTGATATGATGTATCACATTGATTGATTTACATATGGTGAGCCATCCATGTATCACAAAGATAAATCCCAGTTGGTCATGATTAGTGATGTTTTTAATGTATTATCGAATTATATTTGCTAGTATTTTGTTGAGGATTTTTGCATCCATATATATCAGAAGTATTGGTCTGTAGTTTATTTATGTATTAATTTTTGATGTGTCTTTGTCTAGTTTTAGTATCAGTGTAATACCGACCTTACAAAATGCATTTGAAAGTATTCTCTCTTCCTCTATTTTTTGGGAATAATTTGAGTAGGATTGGTGTTAGTTCTTCTTTAAATGTTTGGTGGAATTCAACAGTGAGGCCACTGGGTCCCAGGCTTTCATTACTGGAAATGGTCTGTTCAAGTTTTGCATGTCTTCCTGATTTAATCTTGATGGGTTGTTCCTGTCTAGGAATTTGACCATTTATTCTAGATTTTTCAACTTATTGGTATATATTGGCATATAGTGGCCACTAATGATCCTCTGAATTTCTGCAGTATCAGTTGCAGTATTGCCTATGTCATTTCTGATTTTATTTAGATCTTCTCTCTTTTTTTTTTCTTAGTCTGGCTAAAGGTTTGTCGATTTTGTTTAACTTTTCAAAAACACAACTTTTTGTTTCAACTTTTTGTATAGTTTCCAAAAATTTCTCTTATTATTGATTTCTAGTTTCATTCCATTGTGGTCTGAGAAGATGGTTGATATAATTTCAATTGTTTAAGTTGTGTTTTGTGACCTAACCTGTGGTCTGTCCTTGAGAATGATCAATGTGCTGAGGAAAAGAAATGTATATTCTGCAGCCATTGGATGAAATGTTTTGTAAATATCCTTTTGTATATTTTTATTTCAATTTCATTTATTTCTGCTCTGATCTTTATTATTTCTTCTCCTCTGCTAATTTTGAAGTTAGTTCACTATTGCTTTTCTAGTTCTTTAAGATGCATCCTTAGATATTTTATTTGAAGTTTTTCTTCTTTTCTGATATAGGTTCTGATAGCTATAAACTTCTCTCATAAATTTGGGATTACTTTTTAATTTCTTTTTCACATTGTTCACTGTTGACATTTAGCAATGCTACTGATGTTTGCATATTGATCTTGTAACTTCAACTTTACTGAATTTGTTTAATAATTCCAATAGTTATGTTGTGGAGTGTTTAGATATTTCCAAATATAAGATTATATCATCTGCAAACAAGGATATGTAGACCAAGGATGCTTTTGCCGCATCCCATAGGTTTTAGTGTGTTGTATGTTTGATGTCACTTGTTTCAAGGAATTTTTCAATCTGCTTCTTAATTTTTTTATTGACCCACTGATAATTCAGGAGCATATTGTTCAATTGCTATGTGTTTGTGTAGTTTCCAAAAATTTCTTTTATTATTGATTTCTAGTTTTATTCCATTGTGGTCAAAGAAGATGGTTGATATAATTTCAATTGTTTAAGTTGTGTTTTGTGACCTAACCTATGGTCTCTCCTTGAGAATGATCAATGTGCTGAGGAAAAGAAATGTATATTCTGCAGCCATTGGATGAAATGTTTTGTAAATATCCGTTAGATCCATTTGGTCTATAGCACAGATTAAGTCTAATGTATCTTTGTTTATTTTCTGTCTGCAAGATATGTCCAATGAAGAAAGTGTAGTGTTGAAGTATGCAGCTCTGATTGTATTGGAGTTTATCTCTTACTTTAGCTCTAATAATACTTGCTGCATCTACCTGGGGACTCCTTTATTCAGTGTATATATATTTAAAGTTGTTATATCCACTTGCTGAATTGACTCCTTTATTATTGTATAGTGTTCCTCTTTGTCTCTTATAGATTTTGTCTTGAAATCTGTTTTCTCTGATGTAAGTATAGCTACTCTTTCTCTTTCTTTTTTGGTTTCCATTTGCATGGAATATATTTTTCTGCCCTTTTATTTTTAGTATATGTGTGCCTTTATAGATGAACTGTATTTTTCTTAGGCCACAGGTGAGTGAGTCTTACTTTTTTAATTCATTCAGCCAGTGTATGTTTTTTGATTGGAAATTTTAGTTCATGTCTTTTGATTTGAGAGTTTAGTAAATTTATATTCAGTGTTATTTTTGATAAGTCATAACTTACTCTTGCCATTTTGTTATTTGTTTTCTGGCTTTTTTTGTTGTTTTCTCTTCTCTTCCTTCTTTCCTCTCTCTTTTTTCTTTTTTTTTTTTGCAAAGGTGATTTTCTCTGGTGATATGATTCAATTTCTTGCTTTTCATTTTTGGTGTGTCTGTTGTAAGTTTTTTGGTTTGAGGTTACCATGAGGCTTGGAAATACTGTCTTGTAATCCATTATCTTAAGCTGATAATAATTTAATGCTGTTTGCATGGACAATCAAACCAGCAAACAAAAAGAAAACTTATAAAAACTATGCCTTAACTTTGTTACCTACTTTTTAACCTTTTGTACTTACTGTTTGCATCTTATTGTGCTATCTCTGTCTTCAGAGGTTGTTGTCATTATTTTTGACTGTTTCATAATTTAGTCTTTCTACTAAGGATAAGAATAGTTTACATACCACATTTACAGTATTATAATATTCTGTGTTTTTCTGTTTAGTTACAATTACCAGTGGGTTTTGCGCCGTCAGATGATTTGTTATTTCTGATTAACATCTTTTTATTTTTGAATGAAGTACTCCATTAAGTGTTTCTTGTGGGGTAGGTCTGGTGTGACTGAAATCCCTCAGCTTTTGTTTGTCTAAGAAAGTATTTCTCCTTCATGTTTGAAGGTGATTTTTACCATATGTATTATTCTAGGGTAAAAGTATTTTCCTTCAGCACTTTAAATATGCCATGCCATTCTCTTCCAGCTTATAAGATTTCCACTGAGAAGTCCAGAAGTATTGGAGCTCCACTGCATGTTATTTGATTCTTTTCTCTTGCTGCTTTTAGGATCCTTTCTCCATCCTTGACCTTTGGGAGTTTGGCTGTTAAATGCCTTGAGGTAATCATCTTTGGGTTAAATCTGCTTGATGCTCTATAACCTTCTTTTACTTAGATATTGACATCTTCCTCTAAGTTTAAAAATTCTCTCTTATTGTCACTTTGAATAATATTTGTACTTCTAACTCAATCTCTACCACTTCTTTAAGGCTCTTAGCTCTGATTTTCTCCTTTGAAGTTATTTTCTAGATCCTGTATATGTGCTTCCTTGTTTTTTTTATTTTTATTTTTTGTTTTTTATCCTCTTACTGTGTATTTTCAAATAGCCTATCTTTAAGCTCACTAATTATTTCTTCTGCTTGAAGAATTCTGCTATTTAAAAAATGTAATGCACTCTTTAGTATGCCTATTGCATTTTTCAGGTCCAAATTTTCTGCTTGCTTCTTTTAAATTATTTCAATCTCTGTTAAATTTCTCTGATAGAATTCTGAATTCCTTCTCTTTGTTATATTGAATTTCTTTGAGTTTTTACAACAAACTGTTTTGTATTCTCTGTCCGAAAGGTCACATATCTTTGTTTCCTTAGGAGTGGCCACTGGTGCCTTGTTTAGTTAGTTGGTTGGGTTTATGTTTTCCTGGATAATCTTGATACTTGTAGATGTTCATCTGTGTCTGGGCATTGAAGAGTTACATATTTATTGTAGTCTTCACTGTCTGGGTTTGTTCATACCTGTCCTTCTTGAGAAGGCTTTCCAGATATTCAAAAGGACTGGGGTGTTCTGATCTAAGCTGTGTCTACTTTAGGGGGCACCTCAAGCACAGTAACACTGTTGTTCTTGCAGACCTGTAGAGGTACTGCTTTGAAGGTCTTGGACAAGATTCAGGAGAATTCTTTAGATTATCAAGCAGAAACTCTTGTTCCCTTCTCTTAGTTTCTCCCAAACGTACAGAGTCTCTCCCTCTCTGTTCTGAGCCACCTGAAGCTGAGCATGGAGTGATACAAGCGCCCCTGTGGCCTCTACCACTGTGACTGCACTGGGTCAGACCTGAAGCCAGTGCATCTTTGGGTCTCACCCATGGCCTACTGTAAGCACTTCCTTTCTCCCACCTATGTTTGCTCAATGCCCTGGGGCTCTACAATCAGCAGGGGGCAAAGGCAGCCAGGCCTGCGTCCTTCCTTTCAGGGCAGCGAGTTCCCCCTAGCCCCAGGCAGTTCCAGAGTTACAGTCTGGGAGCCATGGACTAGATTCAAAAACCTTTTAGAAGTCTGCCTAGTATTCTGTTGTACTGTGGCTGAGCTGGCGCTCAATCCACTGGATGCCGTTCTTTCCACTCTTCCCTCCTTTTTCCAAAAGTAGAGGAGTCTCACCCCATGGCCACCACCACCACGGGCACATGTGGAATGCTACCAGCCTACTACCAATAGTCCTATAATGTCCCAGGTCTCTTCAGTCAGCATGTGGTGAATGCTGCCTTGCCTGAGACTCACCCTCCAGAGACATGAACTCCTCTCTGGCCCAGAGCAGGTCTAGAAATGCCATCCAATAGCCAAGTCCCGAGTGCCTGCTTGGTGCTCTGCACACTCTGGCTAAACTGGTACCTAACATGCAAGAGAAAGTCCCTTTTACCTTTCTGTCTGCTTTTCTCAAGCAGAAGGAGTCTTTGCCCACAGCCACCACAGCTAGAAATTTGCTGAGTCTTACCTGAATCCATCAAGTCTCAGACCCACACCCGAAGCCCTCAATGTAGTGCTGGGTATCATTGCTGGTTATTCAGGGCCCAGGGGCTCTTCAATTAGCAGGTGATGAATGCTGCCAGAACTAGGTCCTTCCCCTCAAGGCAACAGGTTCCCTTCTGGCTCAGCGTGTGTCTA